TCATGTTTATTTCGTGTTTTTTATGACGAAAAAATAATATTTAAAAACATGTCCATACAAATGATAAAAGTATCAGAATTACAACCGCAAATTTTTTTTTAATTTTTGCTGCTCAAAACGCGTTTGGTGTGAACCCGGCTTCAGATGCAGCCTTCATTTTAGGGATTCTATGGGCTGCATTCGTTGGCTGCATGAGAAGCAGCCAACAAAGTGGGACAGCCTTCGGCGCGGGGCAGTGATGTCAGCAGACACAACCTTTCAACTTGAAGTACTCTTATTCTTTAAACCCCTTAAGCCAGTTTGTATTTTCCTGGTCCTTTTGCATGTTTTACTTGTTTCCCTGCTCCAAACACATCTGATTCAATCATAGAATTACCTCTTCAAGTTCTGCAGAAGCCTGTTATTCATCTATTCATTCACATCAGGTGTTATGTAGGAGAGGAACCTCTAAAACCTGCAGGATAGTAGCCTTACAGCGCCTGGATTGGACACTCCTGCCTTAAGGCTTTGAAAACTTTTTGAATCAGGCTGTTTCAATGCTGTCACAGCTGTGGACCCTGCTTTTTCATCATGACACTTTAAAACTGTAGCCCAGACAGAGTTGACAGGAATTAACGTACAGTACATTGGACATTTTATTGATGGTGATCTATCATTTAAGTCTTACATTGCTAACTGGGCATCTAAATCCAGTCTCAATCATGCCGATAAGGCCATACATGCTAGTTTTTGAAGGGAAGGAGCTGCAACAGGTCAAACATGAACCTCCACCACATGCTCAATACAAACAGGCAAGTCATAAAAATCAAGATAACTGATCAGATGTGGATTACATAAACACTTTCTATTTATCAAATGTGACCTGCTGCTAACGTAAAGCACGACAACTGCAAGAAAAAGGCACATTTTGCCAAGTTCGGCAAATCACTTGTGACTGTAGTGAGAGAAGAGGTTCCTGAGTTAGCAGTTTTATGTGTGAATGATATTAAGCTGATGGCTGCAGCATGTGATAAAATCACATGCAAACTGAATAATGAAGCAACACAAGGAAAATCCCAGGTGCTAGAGTTAACTGTAGATACTGGAGCTTCTGTATGTATATTTGACCAGAAACTGTCTGCAGGCAACATTTTGCAGAATGCACCATTGCCAGAACCTAAAGTTGAACTAATCATGTGTGCAAAAGGTGATGATGTGTCGTTGGCAGCRTAAAAGCTACAGCAGCAGTTGCAAAAGTTCCAGCAATGTTCTATGTAGTGAACCCTGGATCACCATCTTAAATGGGATTAAAGGGATGCAAATTAACATCACTKGAGGAAAAATGATTTTCATTAAAAAAAATGATGCAAAAGAACCTCCCACTGACACAAAAACACATAGGGTGGGTGACTCATGTTGCTTCTGCTTCAGCCCACCCACCATCTCAGCTGTGTTAAAGGGTTGATCCACAAGGTTAAAGTAAACAATACAATCTACACATCGAAAACTCCAAGCCAGGGCTGACCTGTGACAAAGTGCCGTTCATCTAGATGGAAGAACAGATGAAAAATGAAAAAAAAAAAAAACTTTTTTCCCAACTTTTTATCAGAGTATAGTTGAACTAGAATAGTTCMWGRAGAAACTATGAAAGGGCTTGCCTCTTACTCCAGGATTATTTTTAGAGGTTTCTCTTGGCTAACAACATGCCAAATTTCAGGTCAATATGGGTAAAATTGGCCAAGTTATGGTCAATTTTAGTTTTTAGCTATAGCAACCAACTTGGATTTTTGATCTGGATTCAAAATATGATGAGGATCGTTCTTGGCTACCACCACACCAAATGTTAGCATAATATGTCAAAAAATGGCTGAGTTACAGTCAACTTTACTTTTTATTTTCAAAATGGCAGTCATTTTGGCTTTTCAGTTTGGATTTAGTATGTGAATGGGGATCGTTCTCAGCTACCACCCCTCCAAACCTTAGTCCAATATGTCCTAATGGCCAAGTTGTTGCCATTTCAACTTAGCTCAGGCGGCCATCTTGAATTATTTTTTAGCATTTAGACTTTGTTAAAGAACGTTGTTGTCTACGGCTGTACTAATTTCAAGTTTTCAATGTCTAACACAAGCTGAGATATAGGTTTTGCAACAGTTAGCATTAGCAGTTAGCTTAACATGTGATTAGCATTCAGAATGTGCTTATGAAGGTAAGTTGTTCTCAAATGGCTGGAAAATGCAAAGTTTTGAGTAGATCTTTTACAAARTTTTCCAGAGGAGTACCCATACCCATCATACCCCTCGACCCCTCCTAGAACTGCTTCAGTCCACAGCTGCTCGTTAACATCAACAGGTGTTCCTCGTTGCTGTCAGCAGATGTTGGAAGGTATGAGGTAGACTTCTGATATTCTGTTTCAAATAAATTATATTGTCAGCTATTTTAATTGGACAATTTCATTTCTAAATATAAAACATAATATCAAAGACAAAACTATTTAGTTTGGTATGTAAATGTTTGTAAACTGGCAATGAGATTTAGAAAACTGCACAAGGGGCGCCACCTAAAATCTTGCYTCGGCCGCCAAATTGTATAGAGCCAGCCCTGCTCCAAGCTGACGTCATTAAACCAGTGCCTCACATGTGCTCCTGAGCACCRTGCAGACGAAAACGCTGAACAGAACTTTGTGTCAGACATAGTGGACATCTCTCCTCTCCTGACTGCACTCTCACTTACCGACTTTAAAGCTGAATGTCCTGAAAAGGGGTGGAGTCAGAGGGGTGGGGGTGTGTGTGTGGGGGGGGGCACTCTGGAAACTGATTGGCCACCCCAGGTGCCACCATAGTTGATTGAGGAGTAACTCCATATGACATTGAAAGATGTACTTTTCTGCAAAAAACTAACAGCCATAATGCTTTGTGCTCTAAATATGATGTTCATCTAAAACATGTGTCAAACATGCCCCCCCCCCCAAAAAAAGTTTTTTTTATGTAACATGAAAATTGTTTCTTATGTCAATGGTAAACTTTAAACGTATGATTCAATGCAACAAAATAAATGAAAAAGGTGAAAGATAATAGCAATTGTCCTGCCGTTGAGCTGTTGGATTTAAGTAAGATAAGCTGCTTTAAAGTCAGCATCCACCATAAACTAAATCTGTCATAATGCATACTAGCTACTCACTAGAAACTCATGAGTAAGTAAAACTTTATTAGTATTACTTTTACTAATATTTCTATATTTTTTTCACATTTAGTCAGTCATACACAGTTCTTATCAGTGTTTAAAAGAGGACGTGTTAAAACACTGTTTAGTCAAAGTTAAACATGAAACGTCAAAGTTCATTAGAAGTGGCCCTTCGAGAGCCACCATAACGCTCATGGCCCTCAGTGAAAATGAGTTTGACACCCCTGATCCAAAAGTTTCTTGAGTCAGAACAGAATTAGTGAGAAGAGATTTTAGCTTTGCTGATGTTTCAGCACAGAACTCCCTGTAGGTTGATCTGAAACTGTCAGGCTTTCTTACTTTTKGAGCGTTTTGTTAGTCTTTAAACGATTGTCTGTTTTACCTGTTGCCTGTATTTTAAAGGTTGTCTGCGTTGTTAACAGCTACTTGTGCTTTTTTAACCATTGTTCAAAAAAATAAATAAAAATCATTATTGTGCCATGTCCATGCACTTTAAACTTGCTACTGACCTTTTAGCCAGGCCACCCTTGGAAAAGAGATCTTGATCTCAGTGTTTTTTTTTTTTTAATAAAGGGGATGATTCACAGCACGTACACCCACATGGGGGAAAACAGTGTTAAGAAATTACAATCAAATTCATAAAGATAATGCGTCAACTAAAAAAAAATGGAAGCTGACAATTTTGCGTAAATGATGACACCCATTTTGACAACTACTCGCAGCAATCATATTGTGAAATAATTTATCTAGACTTTTAATCTCAATGTTTTTAACTCACTAATTAAGCTGCTAAACAGTGTATCTGTTGAATGTTGTTGTTCAATATAAAAAACACAATAAATTAGCAAATTTTATGACAGCTCATTTAAATGCCCTTTCTACTACTTCATTTTTTAAATTCAAATATTTTGCATTTTACATTTATTTTGATTTGATTGTTGTAAATCTATGCAGCGGGGAGGAGGAAGAACAGTTTGAGCAGAAACTGAATCTCTGCCAGCAGAACTGAAGCCAGTTGACCCGAGCGCGACCACAATCTTCAAATAAGTCGGTGTGTTTCGAAACAACACAACAAAACCTGAAAGCATTTCATCTGAGGCAGTGACCTGCTGACTGTCAGCTCCACCTGGAGACACAAAAGAAATCCAGGCGGTCGCTCCAGCTTCACAAACAGGAAAAGTGCTCCCAAAGCAGCGACGGTTTACTGCTTGTAGTACAAGCAATCAAAGTAGCTCGAACTCCAAGAACACACTAATCCTGCAACCAGTTACACTGGCTGAGAATTAAAGTCAGTTTATAAGTGCTGGATGGAGTCGAAATGAAAAAGAAAAAAAAAAACAAGGTTTTTCACATTCAGGAAGAAGAGACTGCAGGATAAATTTACATTCCAGGCAAACTGCTTTAATAGATCAGGCTTTAATCTCCTGAGATATGCATCAGGAGGAGCAGAGATGGCCTGTGGCACAACTTCAACTCTTATCTTTAAAAACATAGCCGAGACAGAGCGGAGGCTCTTTAGGTTTTAATGACATCTCCAACTTGAAGAAGAGCCTGAATTTAAAACCAAACTGGTTGAAGAAGAAGAAACCAGACACCAGAGCGAGGCAAAGTGTTGATAATGGAAAATCATGGGTGGAACAAAAATCCAGATTTAAAAAGCAGATATGCTACAGTATTATTGTGTTTGAGCTCAAACAAAAGTCACAATCCTGCCTCTTTTTTTTTTTAAATATAAAATCAAAATGCAAAAACAAAACAACCCTCTGATATAACTTGTTTCCACTGTGTTCTTCAGTCACTCTACTCTGGGGATGAGATGAAATGAGGGGAAACAGCCTCACCTTGTTGTCAGCTCCTCGGTGTGTCAGCAGCAGCAGCAGCAGCAGCAGCAGCAGCAGCAGCAGAGGTGATGGAGGCTCGTGGAGCTGTCGGTGCGCTTTGGCTCGTTCAGTGGGCGGCGGTGGAGCTGCTTCGGTGTGTCTTCTCTCCACTCCTCCCACTCCCTCGGAGAGCCGCTGAAGCGCCCTGTCTCGGTCCAAACCGTTGTATGAAAACAGATGAAAATGAGCTGCAGAAAAGACGCGGAGCAGGCAGGGATGTGCGCAGCTCGGAGCGGACAGCAGGACCGCTGCGCTCCGGCGGCTCCGCTCTGCTCTGACTGCGCTGCAAGGTGGGAAAAAACTGTCCATTCTAAAGCTGCTCGGGGCTTTTTTTATATACACACCCTTTAAAGGTACCCTTCACAAAGTATAAAATCAAACATATGATATTGTTAATCAGGATTATGTCAAACGGAGCAGTTTGAAAACATTTAACTACTGTAGTATTTTTCCAGATGGTTGATATGCAAATCTGAAATGTAGGTCCACACTCATAAACAAAACACTWGCAGTAATTCTAAAGAAACACATCTTTTACTCAACAAATCTAAGCGTAAATATGACCCATGACGTCAAATCAAGTTTAGAATCAGATTTGGTCAAAGTAAAATAAACARATTTTCAGCTTCCTTTTGATTCATCATTTTGATACCAGGAACAGTTTCAGAGATGTGGTTTAATTTGTCTTGCTAACGGCTMAGTTATCGTCACAGTTTTGACCTGAACATGCAGTGTAGGTGTTAATACTTGGCTGGTGCTGTTCTCTGGAAGGATGCATGGCCGTACACTTTATAATTTGTGAAATGTAAAAAGTATAACAAAGGTTTGATGGACAAACAAACTATTTGAATGGCGAGCGGTTTCACAAAATTTTGGAGGTACAAAACCACGCACAATGACGCGATTGGGGCAAATGCAAAGGGACAGGGGAATGTCATTGTTGGCGTGCATTCGGGCTGTGTTTATTAAGTGTCAACTCAAAAACCCTGCTTAATATCCCTGGAAAATACAAAGTGTGGATCTTGTTTAAGAGGAAACTTCAGACTGTATTTGGAAATTGGGATTTCCCAGCTAATAAAAGTAGCTTAGGYGGACTCGGCAGGGAAAATAGCAAAAATTGAAGAATTCTCTGCTCAACTTCATTGTAAGTTGTTGTTTCTACTCAGAAAAGTTAAAGGGTTATATTTTGAACATTTGACCCATTKAAAAGATATTTATTCATTGTATGTTTTTCTAAATCCAATCATTGCAATGCAGCTGCCTGTATTTTACCACACTAGTTACAGCGGGTAAAAAAAGAATTGAACACGTCAACATTTTTCTCAGTAAATATATTACTAGAGGTGCTAATGACATG